AGTAATTTTAATGGATTAGTAGATTGAGCTTTACGCAATTCATTAGTTACCACTTTGTTTGAAACACGCTTTGCTTGAAACATGTAACAATGTTTTTAACTTTGTCAATAAGTTTTTTAAACTCTCGTCAAAAACATTATTCTGCACAAGACGTGTGGGCGAAACAACTTAATTGTTTTTCTTTCCCAAATACATCGCTTTGCAAATATTGAGAGCATTATCGGTAACCACAGCTGAAATCTTATTGCAATCTTATATACAAATCTTATATACAATACATAATTGTATATTTCATTAAAAGTCGTCGAAAACATTTCTCCCAAATAAGTAGCAGTATGGCGTTCATCTAATTCAATAACTCCAATTGTTATAGAGCTTATTTTACCGCTCATTTGAAAAGTGTTAAATCCAAATAGTTAATGGTATTCATTTTCCAAAACATCAGTGGTTAAAATGATACTCATAGCAGCTCTTATTTTATCACTCCGACTAAGTTATCATATTTGGCATCAATTAAGGACGTTATCTTATTCTGCCCTGGAACGCTGTACAGAGGAACTGCAATTTTTATAAAATATTGCAGTTCTTGCTTATCTGTGTGCTGTTTAAAAGCATAATGTTCTTGATTATGTTGTTCGATTGTAACAGAGGAATCCTCGACTGTAGTTGATTGGTTCTTACACTCTGATCCGATTTAAACTTTCGGTAGAAACTAGGCTACTGTAGGTTGCAACTTTTAGGGCCGATTTCACTAACGCCAATCAAGCTTAATCGTGATTAATTGTCAACCGTAATTGATCGATTCTACTAAATAGCAAAATTGGTCAGTCAACGGTTGAACCGATTAAGCTAACTGATGAAACTTTAGGTCTTAGGCGGTTAGACCCCAGCGGATAGGGAATGTTTTTTTGTTCGAAGCGGCGTAACCGCTCCGAATAAGCTAACTAATCAATAAGCTAACTAGTCTATACACCCAATGTCTATATGACAGGTGCTGGATCCGAATGTGTCATACGACGTTCTACAACCAATCAAAAAACAGAATTTTATTTCGTATCAATAATACGAAGCAAAATCCATCGAAGCTCAAGGCAGCGCTTAAGATCATCTCAGTTAAGACTGTCTTATTCAATTAAGATCATCTTGAAATCGTAACATTTCATAGTTACGAAATAAGACGATCTTCGAGAAAAAGTTTTTTCCTTAAGAAATTCTTGTTTGATTTAAGATCGTCTTAACGATCTTAAGATTGAACATATTTGATATTCGGTTGTTCCCGTAATATTTCGGATTCTCCAATAGAAACATTGCATTTGAGAAGTATAAATTTACGAAATGTGTTATTTTATTATATACATTATTTTTTGTATGATTAGACTGTGAATTCCGACTTGAAATGCGTTCCCTGGTGAAAAAAATTTCGCTGAAATTATTTCATGTTTGGAACATTTTAGCAAAATTGTTGATTGAAAAGTTATTGAAATTTCACTGAACTATTCGTTCCAAAACTTCCTCTCTAAGGAAAATTTTACTTGAAATATATAGTACACGAATACTACAACACATAGATTAAAATCTTCCTCGGAAAGTTTGGAACTAGCCTAATTAGGTAAATATAGGAATCGCGCAAATCGCTTGCTTCTTTTCTTTTCTAAGGTTTGTGTTTTTAAAGCAAATTTGTTTTAAAGCAGAGAAGTTTAAGTTATTTAAAATTAATACCTTTTTAATTTTTTTTATATGAATTAAAGTTTAAATCCAGCATTTCTTTAAAATACATGCTGTAACAAATGTATAAACGCGACTTCGCCAAATTGTCCAAATTCTTATAAATTGTGAAAAATGCTTACAAATGCTTTATAATGTATTTTTGTTTTAAATTTAATTATTACATTAAATTTTTGTTAATTAAAATTAATAATATTACCTAGCAATTTAAATATAAGTAAATTTATCGTGAATTTATCTCTCGCGTTTCCGACTTTTTGTATGTGAACTTGTTTTAATGTGAAAAATAAAATGTCACATAAAAAAATCTTCTGATGTATTTATAATAAGGCAAATATAAGGCAAAATTTACAAGAATCTCTTCTCAATACTATTCAATGCCAAATCTACAGGAACATTAGTAAAGAGAGATACAATGTCCAATGAAGCTAATACAATTAGAGGCAAAAGTCATGCCGTTTAATTTTTCTACTAAATGGAAGCTGTCTTTAATATAGCTAGGAGTTTGTGGTATGCTCTTAATAATTATGTTGTGTAAAAAAAGAGAAAAATAAACAATTTTCATGACACGAATTATTATTTTTTTTTTTAAGAAAAGTCATTCTGTAGTTTTATAAAAACTCAAATTTTCCAGCCCAAAACATGACGGCGAGTCATGTGATCTGGGACGTACTACATCAAAGATGTCGCCGTTCAGACCGGTATTCATAGTTAGATCTTATATTCAAAATCATCTTAAAAATGCTCTTACGAAGTCGAACCAATCAGAGAGCTGCATTAGCGTCTTAAGACATTATTTAAGACGGTCTTGAAATAAGTATCGATTATGAACCGGCCTCAGTGTCCATACTTATATACTATGACTCTATCTATATTTAGTTAATTTGGTCGATTTACTATTTGGATTTTAGGCGGTATTCAGTTTCATCAACGCCAATTATGGGTGCGATAACAAATAAATTTTAATATGGATTTTTTAAATATATTAACTTATTTTTATGCACATTTCATTAACACTTTTATTTTATCAACAATTTACTTAATAATTGCATTTAAATCAATTAATTCTATTATTTATTGAATCTATTAAAAAGTGTTTAGTAACGTGAATTTGTCACTGGCCTAGTTTCCACCGAGGGTTTAATCCAAATCAGAATGTAAAAACCAACCAACTACAGTCGAGTATTCCCCTGTTACAATCAAACGATCGGCAGGGAAATGCTCGATTGTAGTTGGTTGGTTCTTACATTCTCGATCAATTGTATCTTGAAATGAGGTGAAAATTATAAAAGTAAGCGAATTTATTAGAATATTGATTATTTCATTGATCAACACCTAGAAAATTTGCTCGCTTTTGTAATTTTCACCTTAGGTTTGTTTGCGTCGTATGCTCCAAATTAACCTAAGATTTGTTCACGTCACATGTTCCAAATTAATCCAGGAACACTTGGATCACAAGTAAGATGGCGGTTGAAGCAGTTGTATTCATGTGCTCCAATGTTCAGTGAAACGAACGAATTTAGGACAAGTGAGCATGTCATCTAACCTATCCACGAGACCATTCGAATGGGTCGGACATGTATCTCGTTTTGTTTCGGGTTTTGTGTTATCTTGATTATTTGAAAAGAGTTTTTATACAAAATAAATGCATTTTTAATAAATAAATGTTGTAAGTTAAAATGTCAAGGCTTTTTTAAAAACGAACAAATGTAATTATAATAAAATTCGTCTAAAATTGGACTAAATTAATATATTAAACAAATTTTAGACCACAATCGAAAGAAAATGATTCTTATATGAGTATTATTATTAATCTTATTCCAGAATAGAATAGAATCATAAATTATGATAAAAAAAAAACATTTTCCCCTGAATTCGGGAACTTAATTTCATAGTGCTTTATAAAACGGTCACTAATCCGTCATCCACTATCTTTGACTTCCGAAATCGTATGGAAATCGCTGCACTTCGATGATCCACGAATACCTAACTAATCATGGATATAGTTATGATACATCTGTTCAATATGGACCTGATACAAATTTGTGTAACTGAACATCCAATCAGTTACTATCTAATATTTAATCTTAATATTATAACGATTATTTTCAGATTAGGAAATCATAAGCTGTACCTTCACAATACCAGTTATCATGATCTCGTCTTCGACTAGAGATCTCCATAACCTCTCTCTCCTGTCGATAATAGTACGCCATATTGATACGGTACGAGTTATGTACCATAATGTACTTAAACAGTATAGACTTTTGAAAATTTTTAACAACACAGATGTCCTAAGAACATCCAAGGGACGTTCAAAAGACATCCGTACATACTAACAAAAGTAAAACTCCTCGTGCGATCTTAAAAAAATTTTCACTTGTCAAGTTAGCGAGCTTGTCAAATAGCATGTTGCGAGCAGATTTAGAAAATTTTTTGCATGAGATGAACATTTTTGAAATGTCCAAATGTGAATATATTTTGTACGTTTTTAAAACATTCATACTAAGTCTATGGATGTTCGGACTAAATAAAAACTAGATTTGGATGTTCAATAGTTCATTGTGTGTTTG